ATCTAAACCTCCCACCATAACCTCTTTGTATATTGACAATGTCAGAAAATATGAGGTACCGTTTCTGGGTGTAATGAATAGAATGAACAATTTACATCTATATCTTCAATAAATCTGGTTAAAAAATGCTTAGCAGGGTAACATTTGTGCAGCATCTTAAATTAAATTTATTTTAAGAAAAATATATGTAATAGGTAATACCCAAACTTTCCTTCAATTAATATTTCCAATAAACTTAGTTAAAAACCAATAGAAAATAGCACTTGGTTTACTAACAATTTATTTTTGAAATAATAAACGTATAGCCTTATTTTTGCTAGATGAAAAACAAATTCTGCCACAGAAAGTGTCAGCAGGGTGAAGTAAAGAAGCATGTTTAGAGTAGGAAATACCTCTACATAAAGACACACTACTAGAAGAGATTGCTCCAATCACAGAGGCATATTCTTTTGAGGGGGGATTAAAATATGACAACTGTCCTACCAAAATAATCCCTTTATCAAACCAGGTTTTCATAAATATACTCTTGTGTTTATACAGAATATTACAATTATTCCAGATATAATACAGGTGTGGAGAAAAATTGTGCTTGTATATTAACTTCCAAGCCAAAAGCACTTGCCTGTGAAAAGCTGACAATTTAACAGGCAGTTTTTCAATGGTGTAATCACACATCAACAAAAATGAGAGACCACCAAGTTGGTCAAAAACAGTAGTAGATACTGTATTCCACACAGAAGAAGGGTTTTTCAAAAAATACTTCAACCAGTTAATTTTGAAAGTGTTATTTAAGATAGAAAAATCTAAATAATCAAGACCACCATTTTTAAATGAATTAAGTACCACAGATTTTCTAATATAATGCACACGGTTTTTCCACAAAAAAATAACATTGTTTGATCAATTATCTTATTTATTTTACTATCTGAATGAATTGAGGAAGCAACATAGGTAAGCCTAGAGATACCTTCCGATTTAGCCAGCAGAGCACGACATACATAAGGGATAAATCCCTCTGTAACCAAATATTAAATCTGCTCTTTATTTTTTTTGATTACAGGATTAAAATTTTGTGAGATTCTGTCCTGTTCATTTTTGGAAATAGGCATACCTAAATAGATTGGAGCATCTGTAAGGTCAAAAATGATCAAAGACTTCTGCTTTCCTGTCCCAAACCTATCTTCAGTAACAAAAGGGCCATTTGGCATTCCTAAAGGCACAGAAGTGCTGATATCGGTCAAGGCCTGTAGCCAACATGTGCATACATCGGGGGTCTGCTAATTGTCACACCTTTTGCACAGTGGGTGAAGTTGTAATCTGCTGATTGGTCAGTTTGAATGTCTCACATTTGGTTTTTAGTCACATGGACAAGGAAGGGATAAAAGAAGACTAACTGTTGCTCTGTCTCTTTCCTTGGCTGCCAAGGCACTGGGAAATTTCAATAATTTTGATAGCCGACTTAATTTGACAAGCATTTTTAAAAAAAAGAGCTGTGTCAAATTCAGTCGGGACACTTCTCCCTTCAACTTGAATTCCTTCTAACTCACTCGATTTAATAAAATGACTAAACACCTGAGCAACAATAAGAAAAAGATAAACTGAAACTGGGCAACCTTGCCTCACACCTCTTTTCAGATCAAATATTTGTGTGGTGTCTTGACTTAATTTAACTGAACTATTGCCACCCACATAAAGAGTTTTCATGGCATTGCAGAAATAGCGCCCAAACCCAAAGCGTTCTAAACAATAAAAAATAAAAGGATGCTCGACGGTATCAAAGGCTTTAAAAAAATCTAAAAACAATATAAAACTATTCTCTTTAATGAGATCAGAGTAATCAATAAGATCAAAAATAAGTCTGATATTATTAAATATATGTATGTTTCTCATAAACACAGATTTATTTTCATCAATTATTGAATCTAATACTAATTTAAATCTTTGGGCAAAAACAAGAGCAAATACTGTGTAATCATTATTCAACAAACTAATGGGTCTCCAATTATCAATAAGCAGTAAATCTTTCTTGGGTTTAGGAATTAGACAGATTACACATTGAGTCATAGTTGTAGGAAGTTCAGAGCACTTTAAACTTTCAGAATACACTTTAAAAAGGAACGGGACGAGAATCTCAGAGAACTGCTTATAGAATTCAGCAGTAATTCCATCACTACTGATGATTATATCTAGGGTGTGTCCACGATTGTGTGTAGGTTCATGCACATGCTGGATGTGACTAAACACCTGAGCAACAATAAGAAAAAGATAAACTGAAACTGAGCAACCTTGCCTCACACCTCTTTTCAGATGAAATATTTGTGTGGTGCCTTGACTTAATTTAACTGAACTATTGCC